GGTTCACTCGTGCTTGTCAACAAATTGACTTTGCATTATTTGCCTTTCCCTTCTTTGGTCATTGCTTTTCAACTTTCTGCATGTATTATCATGGTTTATGGTGCAAAGCTTTTTGGTTATGTTGATGTTGATGCATTCAGCTGGCAATATGTAAAGCCGTATCTCTTGTACATTGTATTTTTCTCCGTTGGTGTTTACTGCAATATGAGATCCCTGGCAACATCGAACGTCGAGACTGTGATTGTCTTCCGTGCTCTTTGTCCCGTCATTGTTGCGTTCCTTGATGCACTCTTCCTTGGAAGGGAGTGGCCATCACAGCGCTCATGGGCTGGTCTTACGACACTCGTATTGGGAGCATATATGTATGCAAACGAGGATGAGAAATTCCAAACACAAGGCTACTCTGCATATGGTTGGCCAACTCTCTACACGGTTGTAATTGCTTTGGAAATGGTACGATAACGAAGTGCCTTTGGTGTATTTTTTTTCCTAGCAGAAGCATAACTTTTTTTCAAAACCACTTCCAAAGGCTTACGGGAAATCGATTGTTAAGTCTGTGCCCTTGAAAACCAGGTCGGGGCCTGTAATTTACACTAACGTGCTTGGCTTTGTTCCAATGCTTCTATTTGCCAATCTTGGAAACGAGTATGGCAAACTGTGGGACTTTTGGTGGGCTAGCTCTGAACGTAAGTGCAGGAGAAAACAGAAACTTCAGTAATCCGTCAAATGTAGCTCACGGTCATATTAAAACCAGAACGATTTCCTCCTGCCAGCGTTGCTCTTTTGATCGTCGGGTCTATTGTGGGAACGCTTATTGGCTACAGTGGTTGGTGGTGTCGAAGCGTTGTATCAGCTACGAGTTTCACACTCATTGGTGTTGTGAACAAATGTCTCACCATTTTGATGAATGTAATGATCTGGGATCAACATGCCACACCTGGTGGCATTTTCTCTTTGTTCATTTGCATTTCAGGTGGCTTAATCTACCAACAATCACCGATGCGCGGAGCAAGTAGTAAGACGGCAGAAACCGAAGGCAGCGAAAAGGTTTCTGCAGATGAAGAGACGATGGAATTGATGGAGAAAGATCAAGGTCAAAGTTCCACACAGAAGCGACGGGGATAGATTGACTATGTTTGTTGTAGTATCAAGTGTCAGTGTACCTAGTTAACAACTTCTTCCTTGTTATACGTTTGTTCATCAGTATGAACTTAAAACCAGGGATTTGCAACAAAGAAGACGTGAAGTTTTCCACACTAATATGCAGTATTCGATGGAACGCGTACTGTTTTTCCAGTTCGGTAGTAACCTAGGCCTCTTTCTCCAAGCTTGAATTCGAATCCTGCCTTTCTTCCAGTCCAAGTTCTTTTGAAGACGGTAGCAACGAGGTTAGAGTGCACATTTATCACACCAAAGAAGACTTTGGCTCCGACTAAACGTACCTGCTGGGGCTGAAATCGTCGTCTCCCTTATCGATGATTCGACCATTTGCGTCAAGCTCCACAATGTCAAACTTTGATCGAAAGTCAATCTTGAGATTCTTGATCTTTCTTGTCACGCAAGCTTTCTCGATCTGGCGAAACGGAGTTTGCATGTTACCCCCAATCGTTTTTGTTTCCTCGTCGACATCACTTACTACTGTATACCCAGCTTTTCGAAGAATATTTGCTTGGTCCTCTGGGAGTGGCAATGAACGTATGTCTGTGTGCTTGAGGGCTGATTTTGGTCTAACGAAAAAACTGCGTCGGGCGCCGTCTCCAGTATATGCCATATCTTCATCGTCACTTGGAACATAGTCATCGTCCCCCTCCAATTCACCTGCGAACAGCTTTTGTCTGTCAGCTTCTGCTTCTTCTCGAGACTTCCGCTCACCAGGTTCTGACTCTTGAATTGTGTGAAGAGCATTCTCCAAAAGGTCGGCTTCATCCATTTCCTCAGCTTTTATCCCTTCGACGACGGCATCATTCTCGCTTTGCACATTGGCAATTTCCGTTCCTTCATTGGGCTCTACGGCATCATCATCACCACCACCACCACCACCATCATCATCTGTACGTTTCCTCTTTTTGTCTCGCCCAGGGTTTTCGCCTTCCTTTTCCTCTTTCTGTCTCTGCATTTCGGCCATTTTGGTCTTTAGTTCGTTGAGTCTACGCAGTCGTCGACGTTCTTGTCGCTTGGGATCAGCATCTCTGAGCATTCTCCGCCGTTGCATGGCTGCATCTTTCCCTCCTTCATAAATTTCAAAGCAGACTTTTGGAACATTCTTGACTGTGAATGTTTTGGCCAATACATCCATGCCTGGGACCAGAGGTTGATAGCGTGATAATTCCCATTCTCGAAAATGGGACATCTGCAGCTCTATGTTGAGCTGACTGCCCCTCATTCTCAGCGTGTCAACCTGGAAACCAATCATATATGTCAGAGAATTCTTCCGCTGCCCAAGCGTCAACAGCGACGATCGATCGGCAATGCAGGCTTCAATTTTCTTTGGCCACAGCTGAATTTTGCTCAAGGGCAAAGATCGGCCAAGCATATCCGAGACCAGCTTCCGCAGTCTCGATTCGACAAATCCAGCCCAAGCTTGAGCATCCGACTCCGTTGGTCCTACAATACAAAGACTCAAGTAGTATGGATACGCGATGAAGAAATCGGACGGCCTGAAGAGTTCCGCCCAATCCAGCTCCCTTGATGGGTCATCCTGGTGCTGCTTCCATAATTTATCCATAATCTCATGTCCTCGGCAGAATTCCTCATGCATGATTTGCAGCGTTTGCCGTGATACTGATAGCGTAGAATTCATGGCTGGGTAAGCAGGAGTAATCATCGGTGCGACTTGGCGTGCATTATGTGCTTGTGGACTCCAAACTTGCAATCCGTATCCGGCATCGTGTGGCTTCGTGAGCATGATTGGGTTTGGCCATCTCCACGTTTTGAAGACTAAAAAAAATTTTCGTAGCAAACTTGCCGGAGATGCATTAGGATATAGTTGTACACACATCGCCACAGCAATGTTGATGTTGACGCCACCCCAATATCCCATTTTGTTGCTGTATAATCCTCGATTCTTTGCCCACTTGCGGACACACCGCACCACCGTGAGAAACGTTTGATAGCGTTCTGGCTTCCCTGATACCAACGCTGCAATTAAATTGGTGACTCTCGGGCCATTTAGTGATTTCTCAGTTGCACTGTCCACTCCATCCAAAACAGTATCGTTGTCTATGTCAATGTCCGAAGGTACGGATGATGAGTTCAGTCGTGCAAAAAGTAAGTCGATATTGACGCCTTCCCAATCAAACGTCAATATAGGAACAGCAGCACCTTCTACTGGAACAAAATTTGTGACATCTGGGTGTTCTCGAATGCGCTCGGCCAAAGAGGAAGGATCCCTGAGGTTTGCTTGTTGATCTGGCTGTGATTCATCTACCGGTAGAGTCCCGAAGAAATCTTGTTTAGTGCATGTGTTTGGTGCTACGAGAATCGTATCAATGTCGGCACCCGGTTCATGGACTCCAAGCCGATAGGATCCGGAGGTGAACAGCTGTCCACCAGCAGAGTTGATGACATTTGGAGGAAGCCCTCGCTTAACGCACACTGACTTAATCCAGTCACGACATAGCGACCCCATTCGATTTAGTACTCGTTCGCGGCGTTTGATCCCTTCCGTTGGCTCCAAAGGTACTTGTTCAATAGTAAAGATCTTCAGACTTGAGTCAAACGAAAGTTCGAGAGTTGTTGGGAGAGATTCATCTACAACGGGAAAGGCAGGGTGTACAATGCGTCCACCAATTTTCGTAGACATGCTGTCTTTGGTAAAATCTGATTGAGGCTCGGACGTGGATGTCATTTCGATCTCTTTCAAATGATGGAAAATACACGAAAACAACGCCAGACCTAACAAAAAAGGTTATGGAATGAATGAGATAGAATGAAACTGTGTCATAATCTACAGTACATGCTACTGTACATACTGTACCGGTACTGGTACGTAGGTTTGGCACAGGAGCGAGGTACTAAGTTAGGGACTGGTTTGCACCGAGGTCGAATCATAGGATTCGAAAGGACGGATTGACAACCAAATAATAGGTACTAGTTTAAACCCAATTATGACCAACCCCTTTTCTAACAAAAAAAGACCCAAAATGACGTACGAGTTGTCTTTAAGCAATCAAGCCTTCCTGAAGTGTCCATCCTACAGGGTTTTGAATCTGTAGGAAAGCCTGTTCAATAAGCATGAGATTGATGTGTCATATATCCGCCTGGCAGAAAATGATTTCTGACCGTAGGAACCCACATACAATGCCACTGACTATCATTAAAAAAACCCAACCCAATGTTAAAATACTCCCACCACAAAATTTAACACCTTTAATCCTGGACAAAATAGGACCGCTGTGTTGCCATGCCATCCCACAAACCTGCGATGTACCAGCAGGCATTGGAATGGTACGGAAACAACCGGAATATGACACTTGTAGCAGCAATGAGAGCAGCTGGATTTTCTGATGCCAACGCCAAAATCCCAAAGGAGCAGATGGTAGTCCGTCGTCTACAGGACTATGGATTTATCAAGCAGAGGAGGAATGCACCTGGAACAATGCAAGTGCAATTGGACATTCCGACAGCGCGTCTAACAACTTGTATTATTATGTCTCCTTTGACTGCCACTGCTCCAGCTTCTACCTCAGCTCCCAGCACGTCTAGTACCAGTACATCCCAACACCGCCAAACAAGAGATTGAAGAAGTCACCTGGCACTTCGTTCGAGACACGCATGAGCTCTTCCCAAGCAATGAAAGTGAAAAACAAGCAGAAAGCTGTTGACAATAATAAGCGAAATGCACACAAGGATGCAACATTGAGGTTAGCATGACAGAAAAAGAAAAAGGATACGGATCTATTCACGAGTCCCAAAAAATTGGCGCGAAGTATCACCGAAGACGTCAACACCAAGTATAGCACTGCACTGTGCTCTCGCACAATTTCCAGATATGTGATTCAAGGTAGAGCTGGGCTGTCACCACAGAAGCCCGGTCCTTTACCTGTGATTCCGAGCAAGATATTTAATGTACTGGCGTGTGGCTTGGAATCATTTGTCCGCATCAATCAAGGGAATAGGAACGGATTTTCTATTTCAAAGAAGTCCTTGAGTATCTCAGTGAATGGTGTTGTTGGTCCACTGTTTCCTGAAAAAAAGTATTCTCCTAAGTTACTGAATAACCTGCTGAAAGAAACTAAAATTGATCTGAACGTCGCGGTGATAGCAGGATCCGTTGGACAAACTTCACCTTTTTGAACCTTTGGTTTGATAGTTGGGAAGTAGATTTACTAATAGACCTTGGCTTTGCCCACATGGGTGAAGATGGTAACATTGTAATTCCTCCGAAACAAATGGATCGCATTTTGAATTTTGACGAGAGTTGTCTTTCTTTGAACGGAAGTGAAAGCAGGGGTGGTCGGCCGTCCGCTGCAATTTTTTATCCTAATTTGCCTTGCCCTGGCGCCATCACTTCTAAATCTGGTTACAGCTTGACTTTCATTGGTGGCAGCACTGCCAGCGGACAAGCTTTGCCTCCTCATCTGCAATTCCCAACTAGCGCTAAAATTGAGGAGAGGGAGAAGATGCGGATGGATATTGGGAATCACTTGAAGTTTACCAATGGCACCTGGGGTCTTGGTAAACTTACATCAATGCCTGTGACACTAGGTGTGAATGAAAAGGGGGGAATGGACGAAGAAGAGTTTGAGAAGTTCCTTCGCAATTCCTTCGCAATTTGATTGTGCCTCTGTACCCTGACAGCAAAGACAAACCTGGGAAACGAGTCTTGCTAAAGGTTGAGAGTGGACCTGGTAGGAACAACATTCCAGGTATGGCCCGACTTCGAAAAAGATTGAGAAAGCCGGCAACCCTAAATCCTTCAGTTATTGGAATTCTGGTATTTGGTGGTGCGGATCCTATGACTGGAGTGCCTGGGTATCGCGATGCTTTTGCAGAAGCCTTTAGCAAAAAGAAGTGCATTGAAGCGTGGGAAAAGGTTGGGGCAGCGCCCTGCACCAGAAAGTGCCTTCAGTCACATCAGGTCTGCCATCGGATAGGAGACGAATCTGACTCGTTTGCCAATCAATACAAGGATTTGCAACTCCAGAACGACTTCTGCGTTGGATGGCTTAATTCCCATGGACTAGATGGTTGTCATCTTGCTGCAAAGGTAGATGTAATAAAGAAATCTGAACTTCCAGGGCTCACTTCAATGGGTACAGCTGAAATGCAAGAAAAGCTTATGACAGCAAATCAGTCTGGAAAAGCGTTCATGCTAACTGCAGGACATCACAAAACCCACAATGACTATTTTGTGGCTGCTACGCTACGAGACAATGAGGATGAAGCAAAGAAGTTGGAAACAATCAAGAAGATGAGACTTGAGCTTATTGAGCAGGCCAAGGGCGGAAGGGACATATGGGAGGTGGACAGGAACACCGAGATTACAAAGCTGACAAAGACCAAACTTGAAAAGCTCCTACTGTGGAAAGGCATTGGAAGGAAAGACCAACCCAAACTCATTGGAGTTTAAAAAAGAAGTGGTTGGAAGTATGCGATAACGACCCGCCTCTTGTTGGAGAGTGGACTGATGAAGATGAAGCTAGATTGACAAAACTTTGTTCCAAAGACGTTGACATCGAAGATACAGCTATAGGGCGTGCCAAGATCACGGTTCAACATGAAATGAAATCAGTCTTTGACAATCTTTCTCAAGAGAAGCAACAAGAATACTTGGATCAACTTGAAAGATCTAAAAAGCTTAGTGATAACTAGTCTAGGTGCCCATGTCGGATTGTTTTTTTTCCTTTCTAACAGAATTACTGTCGCATGGTATTTACAATTGGATTTGACCAACATTAGTTATGGCAACCAGGTAGAACACTAAGGATATATTGGGTGATGTATGGAAAGCATTGGGAAGATAATCCAAGAAGTGTTTCCTTCACCGTAATCATTGCAAGTTTGACCATTGAAATGGACAGTTTATTTTTCCGATTATGTCCAAACTTTTTTGCATATCGAAATTGGACAGCAGCCTCTAGGATTTCTTCATCCATTGGAGCGTTGGGTCGGAGACAGGGATCTGGCTGTTTCAGGAAATTCTGGCGTGCCCCATTTCGTAGTTCCTCCCAGTGCTCAGACGGGAACTCTCACCATGAAAGTTGAAGTCGTTTGGGGTCCGGTCCCTCTGAGTTGTAGTTGTTCCGGTGGACGGCTAGTCGTTGGGCGGCATCCCAGTAGATGTTGTCTGGTTCTGGATAATGGTCAGCGGCCCAGCGGAGGTTGGCAAGTCGTAGTGTGTGCCAGGGGCTACCCGAGGAAAGATTTGGGGGATGCCAATTGAACACATCATTGTCAAGTGTGGTGGTTGCCCCGGACAAGTGGTTCCCGGTCTTTGGTCCCTGTGTCGTTTTTCCGGGTGTATGTGTTGGGTGGCTGAACAAATGTTGTAGCAAGAAAAAAAGGTATTCCCAATGGAAAAGTGATGTAGTTCGTTGGAGGCTCTTGTGTGACAGTTCAGTTTTGCAGCCTTTGGGGATGCCCAGTCCCCGTGCAACTTCTTCCTTCATGAGTCGTCGAACTCCCCTCTCCGTTTTGATCCATGCTCCTATTTGGTTAGGCATTGGGTCGTGTAGGGAGTGGGGTGTGCGTGCACTGCCAGATTGGGAGTAGGAATCCCGGCGGCGTGGCGTGAGGAGATTTCCCATAGGTCAGATCACAGACGGATCTCAATCTAAACTGTCCCATGTCCATTGTGCCCGAAAATCAATTCTTGTCTGAACCACCAGTAGCCGTTCTTGGGTGATGGCACCTCCTATCGCTGTTGCTTTGATAGTACGGCAATTGATATTGTAGCCAGCTTCTCTCCATCTAGTAGTTGTAGGTTTGCTTGTTGGTCCGTATTGCCACAAAGTTGGGTCCGAGCGCCAGGATTCAATGATAACCTTTGGTCTGTGTTTGGGAGGCACGGTGTTAGAATAAAGCAAAATGTGCTCTATCATGAGTGCCTTAGCGCTCAGAACAAACTCTCTGCAATCTAAATTTGTAATCGACTGTACAACACTTTCATGACAATAGTTCTCCTGTGTTAGGTATACTTTGAGTGCAATTGTTCCTATTTGATTAATGTTTGGCTTGAATTGATGTTTCAATCACAAAAGTGAGCTCAACGATTTCCCTTGGAAAATCCCTTGTTTACAGAACTTGATTCGACTTCTATGACAATTCTGTGTTGAATGCAGTACTTTGGGACATCTTGCATTATTCCCCACTGCATTGTACACAACATTGATATTCCACTTGTGTAGTGTCTTTCCCTTTTTGTGTGGATACAGATTGTCCGACAGACTTGCGTCCGGCATACTTGCGTCGAATCCCGACATCGCGCACGATCAAAGTCCGATCGCACGTGTCGAAAACCTCGTACTTGAATAGTTTCGTTTGGAA